ATGCTGGTTGGATAGTGCGAGCGATGTCCTCCCTCCCTCTTCTCCCCGGGCGATTTTTTTCACTTCATTTGGAGGGTGTGGGTGTGGGTGGTGTGGGGGGCTTCATGGGCCCTTCTTGCTTTTCCCTACTTACTGTGGAGTGCTTGGGAGAGCTCCCTCTCTCCCTCTTAAAGGTGGCGGGACACGATGCGGGTCTTTTTCTTGGGGTGGGAAGAATTATTTATTTGAATGCGCCTGGAGTTTGCAAAGAACCGGAGGAAGCGATTGCTTTAATGACTGTTGTAAATAATGTATAAATCACGCCTGTCACTCCGGAGGAAGCGGAGAGCAGCCCAGGGCCGGGCGGAGTGGCTCCCGGGTCCGGGCCTGAGCGCGGCCCTGCGCGCCCCCTCCTCTGGCCACTGGGCTTCCCGCGGCCTTTGGGGAGGGCTGGGGAGAGGCGAGGGAGGACCTGGGAGCCGCTCCCTTACTCCCGGTGTTATAGTTGGAGGTAGGAACATGGCTGATCATGTGCTGGCTGTTTTACTGTATCCCCCCCCCCCCCCCGCACCCCCCAACCTTGGCCACACCTCCTGTCCGGGCGCTTTTCCATTCACGGAATTCGAGTACAGTAAAAGCCATCAGGATGACACACGCGAAAAACATTTAATTAAAGGCGATTTCCTAAGAGCGAACGCACCGAACCGCGGTTGGAGCAGGAGGGTGGGCGCAAACCGGGGTTCGGGCAGCGGGAGGGATGGGCTCAGCCAAGGCCGCAAGTGGAGGGAGAGGGATCAAGGCCGGGGGCCAGGACCTAAGGCCAGCTCCGTGAGTTTGTGTGTGGCAAGCTTTTGGCTGCAAAGAGTATATTTAGACCCTGAGACGGTGGATTTGGAATGCGAGCGGGTTATGTAACAGGGTTAATCAGAAACACTGGAGAAAATCCCCTTCATGTGTTTCCGAGGCTTGCTTGCTTTCTTTTCTTTTTCTTTCTTTCTTTCTTTTTTTTTTCTTGGAAGGGGAGATATATTATTTAGGGAGCCACACTAATTTCTGGTTTGAGCTGCCACTCCCCTCTGTCTTAAGCCCCCTTCCCCCCAACCCCCCCCCCCCCAAGTTTGTTATTAGCATCTTCAGGTGTCATTCTTGCCAGAGGGTGTTCTTGCAAAGAGATCAGGGTGGCAGGCTGCAGAACCAACTAGCAAATCCGCAACTTGCTGTTCTTGCAAATTATATAACGCCGGGGCATTCAGTACCACCAGCCCCCTTGGCTCAGCAAAAAGGGGAGAGGAACAAGGAAGAGGTGCAGCTGACCTGCTGACCTGCTGACCTGCTGACCCTTGTCCCTACTCTGCTGTGAAGCAACCCCTTGTCCATTCCTCGGGAGAGATTTCACGAGGGGAGGGAGAGGGGTAAGGCCCAAAACACTCAACTCACATCCTGCACGCAGGCACTGGGTTATATAACAGTCTGAATGGAAAAAGGAAGGTCAGAGATGGAGGCATCCTTTAGCTAACACAGCAGTAGTAATAGCTCCCAGAAATGATGTGCATTTGCAGACTCTAACCTCAGAGGTAGCGCCTGCTCCTCAGGGGTACCGATCTATGTGTGTTGAGCCAGGGCGAAAAAGAGTGCATGTGTAAGTGTGCCTGGTAGTTGAGAGTGATTTAGAAACGGGAAATGTTTGGGTTTTCAGATGATGTAATGGAGTTGGCAGAATATGCAAGTCGGCTCCCAGAGTGTAAGCAGCAAGAAAATTGGAGCTGGCATCCAGTATTAATGTCGCATAAATTACAATATCGGAAAGAAATTAACCTACACACTAGGTGATTATGCCTCTCTAATACTTAAAACATAAAGGCACACAGCTCAGAGGAACAGCAAACATCACCACCTTGTAATTAGCGTTTTCAACCTCAGGGATGGTTGAATGGAGTTCTTGGCATTGGGTGAAGTAGGAAGCTTTCCTGAGAGGTTGCAGGGTTAGCATCCAGCCAGCAGTGTTTCAAGGCCACCGAGATTGTGGGCTGGATCCTCATGACATTGAGGTGACCTCACGAGGCATTGCCTAGGTAGCTGCTACATTCCGAACTCCTGGGAATCCACATGTGAACTGGCTGTGTATAGTATGTGCCTGAGCTTTCAAAATCCTACCTGAGACTTTACAATCTGAAGTCGGACCTCTCTCTTCCCTAAAACCTGGGCAGGGAATGTGAGCCGTTTTCATGGAAGACTGTCCCGTTTTCTAGGTGGTATTCATGTTGGCTGGCGTCATGTAGTCCCATCTTTACAGAATGAAAGGGGAGAAAAAGAACTGCAAGAAGCAACACGGGGAGTAAGAATGAAGCAGAAAAAGCCACAGCGAATCTTTAATTTAACAAGGCTTTCAGGGGCTTCAGGGAGCCACGAGCATTGTGACATAACCGTTGTTAAAAACCCCTTTCCAGAATCTCCTTATTATATGCATGCCAGAAGCTTACATATTTTACTTCGCTGGAGTTATCCTCACAGCGGGAGGGTGCCACACAGTTGGTCTGGAACTCATGCTGAAGGTTGGATGCTTTTAGGGCAGGCCAACCTAAGGGAAAAATCGAAAGCAAAAGATGGGATTAACACTGAAAAGCTCAGTTGGGTTGAGATCGAATCCCCCTGGAAGCTCTGTTTAAATTGATTTAAAATCAGTTAACAAGGCCTGTAGCCCTGAGGAATTCTAGAACCACACAAGCCTTTGACTTTGAAAGTGCTTCGCCTCCCCTCACCCCTTCAGCCCTAGCTGATTCCCTTTCTGGAAGGTCCTCTCGCCTGGCAATGGAGACCCCTCTCTAGAGATGCATTCTCAGGTCAACTTTTCTGACACGGACCCAGCTCTCCGCAGTGAACAAACGCCGCCGCATAGTTTAAAAGAGATGCTGGCTGGGATAAAACCCTTTGCCAGAGGGATGGGATAATTATTTTTTAAACCATGAGACTTTAATTTTCCAGTAAATTGCTCATAAAAACAGTTATAATTACACCCTCTAAAAATGTAATCGAGTAATTTTAGAAAATGCATTTGATGATATTTAGGATAGCCTTTTCTGTTGCTCCCCCCCAGCTCCTTATTTCTTAAAAAAAAAAATAATTGAATTATTAATCCAGGAGTCAAATCCTCTGCGGCTACAAACATGTACAGCAGACTCTTTTTATGTGAGTCACCTGCTGGAATGTCCCAAAGCCTCCTGGCGTGGTGCGGAGCCCTTGGCTTTAGAAAACGTCTCTATTTCTGGTACCGAAATATGGAGCCTGAGTGGAGACCCCTAACCAGAAGACCCCGAAGCTCGAGCTTTCCAGGCAGCAGGGATGCCCATTCCCTACGAGACTCCTAAGAGAGATGCAGGGAGGTCCCAGAATGCTCACCGCAATAGCTGTGCCTCTGGTTGAAACTGTCCTGAGGGGTTTTGGTGAATCCCTTTGGGAAGCAAGCCTCCCAGAGCTGACCTTTGGAATGCCCTGAGACAAGCCCATGGGCTTCCTTGAGCCACACACTTGTCACTTCTCAGTTAAGATGCACGCTTCTCTGCCATTTTGGGGAGACCATTCTCCCATGTTTGCCTTGAGGAAGGCGTGGTGTGATGTCGGGAGGACAGACTGAGTTGGGGGTCCCAGGAGAATTCTGTGGTCTGTCTGTTCTCTAAGTATCCACGCTTTTCCTGCGTGACCTCTTTCTGTTCCATTCACCCTCCAAGTCTACTTAATGAGCTGGGCTTCTTAGCCTAAATACGTACTTCGGTGTTTGGAGAAGCAAAATGCGTAACTATATTGCAGGTGTCTGGGGAGAGTCATAATGTGACTGCCCGAAATGCCAAAACTTTTTTTTATCATAAACGCAGCTCTCCTCATGAAGTTTCCTGCTGCTCCCCCTCTTTACCCTCTCAACATGAGGTAGACATCATGCTCTGCCTCAAGGAGATTCCTGACCTGTTCACTCCAGATGAGTGATGAGTTTTCCAGAGCAAGAGGGGCTGCTGTGAAGGCCTTGGTCTAGGCCCCTAACCTAGAATCTGGAATGCCCTTGTGAATATGAAGACTGTCTTCCTTGGGATCTCTCTCTCTTTCTCTCTCTCTCTCTCTCTCTCTCTCTCTCTCCCCCTCCCTCCCTCCCTCCCTCCCTCTCTCTCTCTTTCTTTCTCTCTCTTTTCCCTTCATTTATCACTAAAAAATATGTATTTTTTCTTCTACATGATGCGAAGTGTTAGTTTGGAAATCAACTGTTAAGTTTTTCACCCATCTTATGTTAAGAAAAATAAAATTGAATCCTTTTGAATTCATGCCTCAAAAAAAAATCCTCTGATAATCATTGTTCAAGTATTGATTAATACATGGACATCAGGATATTACTGATGAGTTTTTTTTTTTGTGTTTTTTTTTAACAAACAGATTAACCAGAACTGTTTTGGTCTTTTTCTTATTGAATATAGTTTTTAAATATGCAGATCTCATTTTCTACCTTAAAAAGAACATTTAGGATGTAACTGAGCCTTCCTCTGAGGTTTGAGGATATTACGGTGCCACAGGGCCACTGTTCGGAGGATGAATTCCCATTGTACCTTATAGAAACTGTGAGTAGGGACGGAATCTGAGATTGGACTAGATCTGTCCTGACTCCATATTGGAAATTGCATTTTTTTAAAAAATCTTTGATAGCAGTATGTTTTGTTATTTATCTCTCTTATTCTCCAGGCTGCAAGAAACAAAATAAAAATTCATTTCACTTATTTGGTTCTGATTAATTGAGGTTTTTATTTTGTGGGAAAATTTCAACTCAAGTCTGGAGCCATGCTTTTTTTCTCTAGAGTTGTAGAGGATGTAAAATCATTCTCACATGTTCAAGGAGGCTATTGTAGACACAAATAAGCTACCCACTGTAGCATACCGTAGCAGCATTTTGTAACGAGTCCCCTATAAGATAGGAGATAGAAATGCTAACTAATTTTGCCTCTTGCTCTAATATGTTCAAGGTGTGTCTTTGGTAAAGGGTTCATAAATCTGGAAAGCCAGGAAACTCCGGGATTAGAAGGAAGACTTTCAAGAATATCATCAATGAAGAGCAGTTAGATTCCCCCCAGAGGAACTCTTTTTCCAAGCTGAGGCCTTCGTTCTTAGCACCAGGAGGGAAAGCATCCCGGGGACCACACCCTCAGAGGCCGGTTTTCCCAGGCCATCCCACTCCAACTTCCTGAGGAAGTTCCTAGGTCCAGACTGTAGCAGACGAAACTCTTTGGGGTACAAGGAAGGGTGCCACTTAGTCTGGGACCCAACTTAGTGCCAGTCTGCAGTTACCTTTTGATACTTTGGATGTCACAGTGTTGGGCATTCAGCTTGCGGGGAGCCTTGCTGTGCTTTTGTGACCTCCCAATTATTTATTTATTTTTTGCTCTTGTAGTAAAATTACCCGGAAGGTTTTCTAAAGCTATCCATGATGAGGAACACACCTGCCAGAGTCCTGGATTAGGCAGGCGCACGTGGTGCTCCGGTTTTTACACGCCCATGTGAACAGGAATTATAGGTAACAATTCCCTTGTGCTGATGGAGGAGGTTTTCCACCCCCCGACAGATGTTTATGGCCTTAACGGACACGTCATTATTACCAGCTGTCTTATCCCATTATGTGCCGTGGCACATGGACAACGCGTGGCACCGTGGTTTCCTGGTGATTATCTTGCCCACAGAGCCGAGGCCCTGGTGGCCAGCGGGGGAGCCCTTTGCAGCGTCCCCTGATGGCTGAGAGTGCAGGTGCCCCAAGTCCTGGACAGGGCTGAAGGACTCCGGGCCGTCCTGGGCAGTGGCGGTCCCGGTGTTGTGTTCCCTGAAGTGCAGTCAGCCTTACATCATCTCTGATAGTGGGGTTGGGCATTTGAGGTTCGATTATGAACTATCTGAAAGGTTTTTTTTTCTTTTCTTTTTTTAATCATTAGGCAGTCCCTAGGTCCAGACCATACTACGGGAAACTCTTTGGGGCACAAGGAAGGGTGCTACTTAGTCTGGGGCCCTCACGCCTGTGAAAGAGGCAGCACGCTGTTAAAAATACTTGGCTTCCTTTGGGGGAGAATTTGGCTGAATACTGATGAAGTTTATGAAATATGAATGCAGCGACGTTGCTGTACCTTAGGTGGTAGGCGTGTGTGAAAGGAGGAAGAAGAAATAAAATTGTGTATAAACGACACTCCGAAACTTGATGGAATTGTATACGTGATGAGAATGGCGACATTTGGATCGGTGCTTAATGGGAGAAAATAAACTGGCTTAAAAATCTATATGTCAAACTAGATGTGGGAATAAAAACCACAGGATCTGAAATCATTTGACTTTATTTTATAAGCAGAAAATGCCAACATGGATCAACAGGCATGTTATGAAGAATAGAGATGAAACAGAATTGGGGGAGGGGGGGGTAAATGAGGGACCAACACCTAAATGTATAATGAGGTATGGTAATCACTGTTTTAAATAACCCAGAACACTTACTGTACTGCGAGGTAGAGAATGCGTTGCAGCCAAACCGAAGGTGTAAATGTGAAAGTTAGGTTGCGTTGGGAGAAATCCTTTTGATCCCCAGAGCATCACTGCATGTACTGAGAAGCAAAGCTGCACACGATGTAATTTTTTCTGTCTTATCCTGATTAATTGACAGCCACTGTATGCCTCTTTCCTGAAGGTGACTTTACAATCTCCAGACACAGACATTTCTCTCAGAAGTGGAGTGAAGGAAGGAGAACCACAAGCTAAAGTGTGTTTCGCCGGGTGAAGTATTTTGGGGGACAAGATAAGCATGGTGAAATGGGAGTGGAGCAGTGCAGGCAGAAATGAAGAATGCCTGTCAGGGGCTGGGGAGGGAGGGGGCGGGACTGTGAAGGAAGGAAGGGGATCTTTAGAGGGAAGAGCCTTCTATGCAAAAAAAAAAAAAAAAAAAAAAAAATTAGAATTGCCTCTGAAATGGCCTTTCTAATATTAAATTATCTTTAACAAGGGCCGTGGGAAGGGGGAAAGTTGGCACTTGGAGAAGTTGTGATGAACTTGTTGAGAATGTCGACTGGCAAAGGCAGGTAAGGGAATACTTGGGAAAACAGAGCCAGGCGAGGTCTGAAGGGCACGGTGATCTGCTTCCTAGTGTGTGAAAGAAATCAGCCTGTTTATTGACTCTTCCAAATAGTTTTAAAGAAACCCGAAGAAATGGACAAAGACAGAGAAAAGACAGTCAGATGTGAGTCTGCCCTCCAGAAGCAAAGAGGCTTCCAACATCCCATAGGATCGATGCCCGTCCTGGGGAAGGAGCCACTTTATAGACGTTAATGGATTGTCAACACACAGATCACAGAAGACACAAGACGTATTTAGCAAGTCTAAAAACTCTTCCATAAAGTGCCTTGCTTTTCGTTTTCTCTGTGCAGCTCTAAACCCAGTGCATGGTAAGAAGGCCGCAGTTACCACATAGCCTGTAGTCCTGGGAACCTTTGTGTGATGGGGACATGATGTCTGAAAGGACAGGGCACCAGGGAGGGTGAACTGCTCACGACTCTCAATTGTCCAGGTAAAGAAGCATTGGGAAAGCAGAGGCAAACGAAATACTCTGATAATCAGAAATGATTTTTCCTTTGGTGACCGTGCTAGTTGACGGATGGTGACAAGGGAGAAGTGGCCAGAGGTGTGTGTTACCATTTCTCGCACTCAGGAGCCACTTCTGATGAGCACGGTTATGCAGAGAGCAGACAGTTCTGTAGACCGGGCTGTCAGCCCAGAAGATGTAAACCTCCACGGTGTAAAGGATGAAGGCTGAACATCAGGGAGGGTCTGCAACTTCCTTGAGGCCCCGCAGGTGAATCGGGGAGGAAGCTGCTGCTGCTCTGAAAGGGCTCATGAAATTTCTAATCTGGAGCTCGGGGGTGTGAGTTAGATTTGTAGTGCTTACTCTATCTATATGAAAATAGATAATAGAGGGAGATAGTTACAGAACTATGATGCTGCCACTTCTCATGTTTTATTAGAAGAAAGCCTGTCAGAGCCAGAAGGGGTCTATGAATCATCTGGCCTAGCCTCTTGTTTAAACCAGAGATCTAATTGTGTGAGCTCCCCGTTCTTAGTATGCAGCGAGGCCATGCCTGCAACACTAGTCTTCTGCTTTCTTACCTCATAATTATAATAGTTCCTTCCACTTTCTTGCTGTGCCAGAAGTTCCAATAAGCTACAGCATCAAGTTCCCGTCTCCTAGGAAAACCCCCCGAGGATACTAAGATGAACACGAGTTAATCCTGCATTAGGTAGTGGATCTGTATGAAAGTAAGCGCAAGGAGTGTTGGCTGTTCATCAATAGTGGAACATTGTCAGTAATTGTTAGTTTTTAAAATCCCGCTGGTCATTTTTATTTTTAATTAAAAATTAGCCAGTGAGCTTTGTGGCTGTGTCAGTAAAGCCATTCTAAAGCATAAAAATAGTGCCTGAGCCTCGTGGTCTGGCTTAGTGGATTGTAAAGGACAGGATGTGGAGCTGAGCATCTTGTACTCAGTGCTTGTGGGAGCTAGACGCAGCTGGGAGTGGGGAGGGAGGAGGGCGGTGGGGGAAGGATGTATCTCAGCAGCAGTCCTGCAAGGCAGCCAGTTTAAGGCCGTGCCTTTTCTGGGATGTCAAGAGCAAGTCTGCAAATGGAATACTACGTAGCCAGTGAAAATCCTATTGTACTAGAAAGATATTTCTGAACAGGGGGAACAGTTTATGACCTATTGCTTCCATAGTGTTGTGCACAGAATGGTATCTTTGTGAAAACTATAGTGTGTATATGTGTATTTATATGTGTATGTGTGCATGTAGATACACATACACATATATACATATTAACATATGGACCCACTTATACCTCAATGATAAAGTTATAAAATGGTCATCTCTGGATGATGGGGTCATCTGTAAGTTTCTTTTCTTTTTTTCTTTTTTTTTTTTTTTTTTGTGTGCTCTTCTGTATTACATTGTTTCCTGCAGTATGCATGTATTATTTTTGTAAGTAGAAAAAAATAAATTTTTATTTTAAAATAACATTGTGTGCTGTGAAACTGGGGATACCTTGATGGAACTGATTCTGAAGTTATCATGTTGTGCAGAATTTTTCACGTTTTAGGATGGACCAAGCTTACTGGCTTGAAGAGTATTACCTCTGATGATCACATTCAACCAGGGAGACGGTCATTCAGCTGGCATGTGAAAAGGAGTGCCCCCAAATTGAAATGTCTTGCCCCTCTAGGGCATTGTATTCAGGTGTTTATACTGTGACCTATAATAAGGAAACATACTGCATTGTGAGCCATTGTGTACACACACACACACACACACTTTAAATAATTTTCATAGAAAATATTTAAGCTTTACTTATGATACACTATAATTTTTGCTGTATTATTTAAAGACAAAATATAAGTCACAGCCACCAAGCTTATTTTTTATTATCTGTTTTGGGGCTGCTCCTGCAGTTGGAAAAACCCTGTCATGGGCATGGGTAGAAGCCACCTTTCTGCGGGTCATGGCCCTGTGGTGGGAGTGGTGTGGAGGGGGGCGGTGAGGGAGGGTTTCCACAATAACTGATGTTGAACCCTAAGTGTCCCACATTACGATTTCAGGGAGGGAGTGGGGCAGGGAAAATGATGTAAATGCTTACTTGTAATCCTACATTATCTCTATGCCACTTTTAGCACACGTTCATTCACTGGCTTAGAACGTAAATTCTGGGATCCCCTTTGCTTAGAGTTAATGTCACTGTGTAAAAGCAAGAGATGGCATTCTTTCATTCAACAAATATTTGTTGAGCACCTTCTATGTGCTAGGCACTGTGCTAGGTTCTGGGGATAAAGCAGCGAACAGGAGAGGTCAAAGCCCTGCCTTCCTGAATCTTACATTCTAGTGGTATTCTTTCTCAACGTAGCCTACTGTCTGGGATATGTCTGATGGTCATCTAAGTGTATCCTACAATTATTTTAGCTCCAGATAGGATGCATCCTCTTCCTCCTGCAGTTCCAATGACCCTGTTTTTTTTACAGAGTCAGTCTGTGGGCCTTGCTCATTCGATCAACATGTAACCTCTTCTTTTGCCAGGTTCTTTTGCGCTGTCTATAGTGTTCTCTCCTGGGTAAGAATCTAGTCACCCCCAGGAGACCAGCACCAGGAATTACTCTCTTACTCCTGCATAGTGCCTTGCAGAAAGCAGGTGCTCATTAGCTGTGCAGACAATCTCTCCCACATTGCCCTGCAGGGCTGGTTGCTTCCCCAGTAGATTCAGCTCTCCACTTCCCAACTCTGCAAGCACAGCTTCTACCTGCTTATTCTTCTAACTGGGCCTTGGGTTTGGACCCGTCTGCCCTTGTTGATCCCCCTTCTCTTTGCCTTGGGTCCATCATGCCTCCTCTCAGTGGCAGGTTCAGTCCTGTTCCAGGCTTGAGCACTCAGACCAAAGCTGAATATGTTGGGAGAGAGCACACGTGGTTGTTGTAAGCCTGCTGTGAGTGAGACAGACCTAGGCCAGAGGCCCAGGTGTGCTCTGTGTGAGCTGTGTGACCTTAAGTAAGTTCATTAACCACTCAGTCTATTTCTTTCAACACCTGGAAATTGGGGATGATGGTGGAGCTAACTTTCCCAAGGTGGATGAGAGAATCCCCAGATTCTGCATGTTGCTGCCCCTGGCAGGATGCCTGGCACACATCAATGGTGGCTTCAGTGACCGTGTTGATGATGGAGCATGTGGTGGTGATGATGGGGCACGTAGTGGTGATGATGGAGCACATGGTGGTGATGATGGAACCTGTGCTGATGATGGAGCATGTGGTGGTGATGATAGAGCACATGGTGGTAATGGTGGAACACGTGGTGGTGATGATAGAGCACGTGGTGGTGGTGATAAAACATGTGGTGTTGATGGAGCATATCCTCAAGTCTTCAGCTCTCTTTGCTTGGAGCATTCTTCCTTGATTTCTACTGGTTGCTCTGTGAAATAAGCAGGAGTTCATGCACTTCAGAGTCCTAAATCCTTTCCTTTTATCACCAGTTTCCTTTCCTGGACTGCATCCTGCTGTAGTCCCTCAGCTCAGCTGCCATGGGATGGATTCTGCCATTGAGGACAGATCACTTGAGTTCAAACCCATCAGCCACTTGCTGACTTCTCTGAGGTTACACCCATCCCTTGAGCTGAGATAGAGGAGGGCCCATGTCTGGCTGCCACCTTCTATCCTGACCCCACTATTCCTATGGTACCCACAGGCTGCCTCCTTTAGCGGCTGAGGCTGGGGGAGCTCCCTCCACTATACTCCTATGTGCTCTCACACCTCATTTTGCAGCCGCCCATCGTTCCTTGCCCTCCCTACCCTGTACTTACTTTCTCCTTGCTGCCAAAAAAATCATGTTGAAGAAGCTTGTCTGCAAGGGTTCCATTCAACTTGTTCTACATTAATGCTTCACTATGGTGACCCACTGCTGAGCCTTTCACTTGTAATGTAATCTAATAATTTACATGCACTTTGCAAGCAATACTCACAACCTGCTTGAAATTGCTCTGCTGTTACAGAATTGAGCTGATGAGAGAGCAGCATGAGAAAGAGTAGTTATTGGTACACAATGGTATTGGGTAAACCCAGGAAAATAATGCTAGCACAAGGTAAGGGTGTGCTGATGGATTATGATATCTTTTCTTAGAGAACTTTCTAAGGGTCTTTTATTGATTTTAGATTGTAATTAGCCTAGGATAGGTCAAAGTAGAGTAGGGGTGGAAGCATAGCAAGCTAGAAGAAGTGAACCAAGAGTTGAATTCTGTCTTTGTGGGCTGCTGGGAAATGCTTTAGTTTTGATATACTACATGACTTTTATAGAACTAATTGGCACTGTGATTGGGTTGTTTTATTTCTGCACTCAAACATGTTGGAAGCTGCTTCTAATATGCAGTAGTAATGAAAATAGAGTAACGCTATAATAATAGTGCCATTGTAAAGTGAATTACACCATTAAGCATCTATTTTGTCTAATTTGTATTGTGATAGTGTGGGTGATACACACACACACACACACACACACACAGACTTAAGAGTGTCTGGTCTTTAAGAAACGGACTCTTGCTGAGAAGCCCCACTCTTGTAATACTGAACAGTCAATGAAAATAAGCCCTTGTTCCATGAAAAAGTAAATTTGTATATCTTTAAATCTAATATACTTATACATACACACACACACATACGTATACACATAGGTACACAGGCATATTCTGCCAGTCAGGTAGATCAAGGAGAAGATATAATACCATGCCATAAAGATGCTTGCCTTTTGGTGCCTTTTAATAGTTTGGTGAGTCTGCAGGGGGCAGCTATCAGTTATGACAGGCTAAGGCAAAAATACCATCAAGGCTAAGGTTGAAAAACAAGGCTTTTGTGTATGTGTTTCAACCTTTTCATCCTTATTACCATGTCTGAGAACTTCTAGTAATTGATATTTCTTAAGTTTGGGAAGAAGGATTAAAGGCCAAGGAACTTCTTTCACAATCGATAGAGGCTTTTTTTTCTTTTTTTTTTTCTTTAAGCTAGAAGTCATAAGCTAACCCTATGAGCACAAACAGAATCTGAGAAGACAGCAACAAATGGGGCCACTCCCCCAGTGAGATCTATAAATTCAGAATCTGAGACAGTATTACAATTTATCTTGATTCCAGTAACTTTATCCCTTCACCCCACCCTGGAAGGCTTGATATCAGGGGGTCATTTAGCAGTAATTATCCCTGAGTTTCCAACCATTACAGTGGTATCTCCGGGGAGATTCTGAAGGTTTACCTGGTTCACCTCCAATCTGGATTGAAAACAAGACTCCATGTTTTCCTATAGGACCATCCAAAAGGGATTTTATTGGGAGCCTCCATCTCTTACTTGCTCTCATTCCAGGATTTTGCCTCTGTAGCATTGTCAACACCACCACTTGGTAATCCAGAACCGTAAAAAGACCTTGATCAAGGAGTTGAGGTTTTATGTAGTTTAGTATATATTTATGTAGTTTAGTGTGTGTGTGTGTGTGTGTGTGTGTGTGTGTATATATATATATATATATATATATATATATATATATATATATATTATTGATTTTTTTACAGAGAGGAGGAGAGAGGGATAGAAAGCTAGTAACATCGATGAGAGAGAGTCATCGATCAGCTGCCTCTTGCACGCCCCCTACCGGGGATGTGCCCTCAACCAATGTACATGCCCTTGACCGGAATCGAACCTGGGACCTTTCAGTCCCCAGACCCATGCTCTGCCACTGAGCCAAACCGGTTTCGGCAAGTTTAGTATATATTTAACATTCATATATATATAATGCCTGCTCTGATGACCAAACTATTGAAATAAATTTGCTTCACACCCCAATATGCACTCCCCTTATCTCAGCACAGCAAGGTTGATTTATTTTTATTTTTATTTTTCAAATATTTTTACTTATTTCAGAGAGGGAGAGGAATAAAAATATAAATGATAAGAGGGACTCATTAATTGGCTGCCTCCTGCATGCCCCCTACTGGGGATTGAGCCCTCAACCCAGGCATGTGCCCTTGACCCAGGACCCTTCAGTCCCCAGGCTGACATTCTACCCACTGAGCCAAATCAGCTAGGTCAACAAAGTTGATTTTAAACTCTATGAACATTTGAGGGGAGAGTACACAGCATCAATCAATGCC